TATGAATTTCAATGGGAGGGATTGTTTACCGGCGTACGGTCTGCTCATCGAGTGTTCCGGCCGCCACAGGGTCGACCGTGTTTCGTCGGTTTTAAGATTGTATCGGGAACCAGCGAATACCTTCGATTTCCATGGGTTCTCTATTAATTTTACGTGGGATTCTTGGTTTTTGCGATGTCAACGAGAATTATGATGCTTTCTGCCGTTTTGAGAGATAGGGCTTTTGAAGTGTGAGATGAAACGACTGTTTAGGTGAATATTATTAACTTTAGACGTAACGGTTTTCTCAATTATATTTTCTTTGATCCAATAAATCTGAACAAAATATGATGCTTTCTGTTCTTTGTGAGATAGCATTTTTGAAGTGTGAGATGAAACGACTGTTTAGGTGAATATTGTTAACTTGAAACGTGACGGTCTCCTCAATTATACTTTCTTCGATCTAATAAATCTAGAAATATCATGATGCTTTCTGTTTTTTGTGAGCACTCTTGAAGTGTGGGATAAAACGACTGTTTAGATGAATAATCAATTATCGATTTAGGAAATTTGGTTACTTAGGTCTTTAACACGGTCGCTACCAGCTTATTTCGGTGACAGCCTCCTCAATTATATTTTCTTCCGTCCAATAAATCTTCCGAATAAAATATTAAAGGAAACTGAAACAAGTCATTGAGTTCCTAAACATAACATCATAGTTTATAATTTCTAATGAGAATATCTATAGGATTAATTTCATTTTCATTATGTATAATATAGGATTATAAGAAATATGTGACGCTGCGAGCGGACGTGTTAATGAAGTTTGTCGAAAGAGATCGACACTCAAAGGCTTAAGAAACCTTAGGACAGGTTAGACTGACTCACGTGCTCGCCCTGTTCAAAAAGACAATTAAGGCTTTTGTTACACGATCACTCCCTATACGGGATACTCAGTTATTTCATAGTATCATTACATTGTATACAATAAACTTCAAATCACTGTGTTATTCGTTACCCATCTACCCTGTCCAAGACAATAACCCGTTGAAGTATCACGAATACCCCAACATCTATTCAAACACGATCAAAATCCTTCTAATTCTCGTGCTAACATTTCCAGAGGAAGACTACGACGCGTTCTGTCTGTCATACATGTTCACCTACCGTGATTTCGAAAAGGGAACGCTGGGACTGGCCTGGACAGGTGACTTGAAGAATGCAGGGGGCGTCTGCGAGAAGAACGGAGTGAGTGTTTCGAAAATTCCCCGGCGTAATTACTGGGACCCGTATAAATGACGCTTATCCCGGCAACCCGTCGCGGGAAACTAACGCAGTTTCCTCTTGCAGCATTACAGGGGTAGCATGAAATCGCTGAACACTGGTATAATCACCCTGCTCAACTACGGGAAGCACGTACCACCGACGGTTTCTCACGTCACCCTCGCGCACGAGATCGGTCACAACTTCGGATCCCCGGTAAGTTCACCGCCGCCCACTCGACGCAACCGCCGAACACGTGTGAAACGTTTTAGGGGCGGCTGCGGAAGTTTTTCACACAAACGTTGCCCCGTGGACGGTCCCGCTATGAATTATTCGCGACCGAGCGCATAATCGACTCGGCTGCCTCGGGAAACTTTGTCACGATTCCTTGAGACTGTCGCGAATCCGACGAAATTTTCTGGTCGAACGGTGATTTCTTAGTAGGCAGCGATGGAACATGAATCGTATAATTTCTTGAATTATAGTTTGTTGTACAGGGTAAAGTAATATTTGTTTTCCTTGAGATTAATGTTTCTAGGTTTATAGTGTTAGTTTTTCTTAATTAGCGAGAGCTAATGTGTTGCAACGTGGGATTCAGTATTGTATAGTATAGAATTTGATATTGTATAATTTGTTACACTATAGTCCTTGAATAATAATATTAGTTTACCTCGAGATCAATATTTCAACTTTTGTAATATAACTTTTTATTAATTAGCAAAAGCTAAAGTGTTGCAACGTGGAATTCAGTATTGTATAATGTAGAATATATTATTGTATAATTTGTTGAACTATAGTCCTTGAATAATAATGTATGAAATAATATTAGTTTTCCTCGAGATCAATCTTTCAAGTTTTATAATATAACTTTTTATTAATCAGCAAAAGCTAAAGCGTTGCAACATGGAATTCAGTATTATATAATTTAGTATATGAAACTGTATAATGTATTGTATAATGTAATATGTTTTTGATACTAATGATAATAAAGGAAAGTCTGTGAATATTTCGTACTTGTTAGATCCATCCTGATACAGACCGTGATAACATTTTCTCTGTGTGTAAAACAGCACGACCCGGACGAGTGTTCGCCCGGCGGTGAGGACGGAAACTTCATAATGTTCGCGAGAGCCACCAGCGGGGACAAGCGGAACAACAATCGCTTCAGCCCTTGCAGCCTGGTCTCCATAAATCCCGTTCTAAATGCCAAGGCCCGCTCGACCAAAGGCTGCTTCGCCGGTGAGTACCAGAGCTTTCGGAATTTTAATTAGTTTCGAACGGGGTCGACGTCTGCGTAGCTTCAAGTCGTCAGTACTGACCCGTGGAACTTCGATCGGCCGTTAACAAGATTACTCGCTGAATTATTTATACTTAAACGACGACGCTAATCTGTGATCCATTGACGCCTTTAGGAATGATATTGTTTGCACATGATCCACTGAACAAATTAAACGAATCTATCGAAGGTAGATCGAACTTCTATGTGTCTATACTTGGTAAAGGAGAGTTATGATTGTAAATTTGAAATATCAGTAAGGACGTTTTCATAAAGCAATAGAAGAATCAATGAACTGTCACTTTGATACACAATATTCAAAGTCAGTGTGCAATTCTGAACAAATTAAACAAGCATATTGTGAGTAAATCGAACTTTTATGTGAGTATAGTTGGTAAAGGAAAATTATGATCGTAAATTTGAAATATCAGTAAACACCTTTTCATAAAACTAAAAGAATCAACGAGCCGTCACTTTGATAAACCATACACGATCCCTAAATCAACGTAGAATCGTTAACTTTAAAACACTCGGAAGTTTAAAAAAAAGGTGTCCCGAAAAAACCGAACAGAAGGAACCGGGAAACTTAGCAATTTATAGAACCGAGGGATCGAAAGGGGCGTGAGCGCGTAGAGCAAAAAGGTCTCGGGAATTAAGGAGAGCCAGGCAGTAGCCCGCAAATTGGAAAATTAGGAAACCAATGGTAATTAAGGTACCCGGTGAATCCGAGAACTCGCAAAGTCGGAACGCATTCGGCGATCGTTTCAGCCCTCGATGTATCGCTCTTGACTTTTCCCCTTCCACAGTCCGCAGCTATCCCTTTCCCCGAGCAGCGAAAGAAAAAAGAAAGGGTGGACAGTTCGTCTAATTCACCCTTACAGCGTTAATAAATTCGCGGCGTATCGGGGAGAAGCGAACGAGAACGAACGAAATCGAGGCAGAGGGAACCGCGAACGGAGATGCCGATATCGTTGCATCCTGGATATCGATCGAGGCTGGTTCTAACTGCGACTCAATTGCAATTCTAATAGCGGAGCGTGCACGTGCAGCGCGAAACTCGTTTTCGGACAACGACAGACTCGCCGCGCGAATGGACGAGCAAACGAGCGACGAATCGCGCAAACAGGGAACAGATACCGCTCGTTAATTGTTAATGACACGATACCTCCTCGCCCGTTCCGCCGCAATGAAAAATAAAACGTTTCCTCCGGTTGCAACTTCATACCGTATTTCCAGCGAGCCGCGATAACGAGGAGGAACGAGCAGGAAGAGAGATAGAGAAGTAGCGTCTCCGTCGTTTTTCAACGCGTTCAATGCTATGGCGGTCATTGGTGAATCCCAAGCAAATCAAATCGTAGTGACTTCATTGGACTGTAACTAATTGAAAATGTTTCTGTGTTGCAAATAATATTATAGTATAGTGATATTCGACAAGAGACAGTAACAATTATAATTATTAGTTCTTTTAGTGGTGGTTAAAAAAAAGGTTAACAAAGACTAGAAAATAGGTTTCTAAAAATCTATACTTTCAATTATTATTATATTTATTAGTTCTTTCAGTGGAAGTTCAAAACAAACGATAACAAAGACAAGAAGATAGATGTTTAAGACTTTACACTTCCAACTATTATTATAAGTATTAGTTTTTATTTTATTTTATATTATTGGATTGTGACTAATTGAAAACTGTTCTGTATTATAAATAATATTATAGTGCAGCGACATTCAACAAACAATAACAATAACGCAATTCAATTAACCCTTTGCACTTGAAAATTTGTCACTTGAAATATGCTTTAAAATAAATTTCTCAAGAAGTCGCACATAAATTAGGGAACAAAGATATTTCCTTCCAATATTTCACGTATCGATGCAGTGTACAGAGGTTAATGGTAAATACCAAAGTTTATAATTTTACTGTATCGAATCATCTGGTGAGTAAAATTTCAAATTCAATACTAAATATTGCCTAACATATCAACACGCGAGATATACAAATAAAATACTTGTCTCTCAATTCATGCAAGATTTTTCCTTACGTTAATTGCGAATAATGTCATCGATGTTTCACCAGAAAATAACGAATATTTATAATATCAAATATTATCGAGTGCAAACGAATAAAAAGGAAACGAATAAATAAACTTAACTCGATTCCATAAATCTATAAGCTTGGTACTCGAACGGTTAACCTCTTAACCTATGATTTCTTCCACAACCGCGCCCGCAATAATTACTTTCACACGAATCATTTGCTAAAAACAAAGGAGAATTTCACATTAATCTACATCTGCGGTTAGCTCGGAATGTAACAATTGATAACAGAAATACAATATTTCGTTTGAATTCAAGAGAATCAAGATTCAATTACTTTTATTAATTTCGCTTCGAGATCTCCGCCAAGAATCTCGCTCGTTGTTGTAGAACAAGGACTTATACCGCTCGGCGACGGATTAAACGTGCGAAGATTGTCGCGGAATCGATTGTTATTATGGAATCAGCTCGTCGATCGACGGTGCGACGAATTCGAGAGGAAAAGAGGCTGGTTTGGGATCGTCGATGCGAAGCATACGTTAGGGAACACTCGAGGAACCGAAAGTTCGAGGCGCAGACGGTGTAAAAACAGAACGGCGCGAGGCAGACATCGCGGCTCGCAATTGATTCCATTACGCAGCCGCGGCCGACTTGTTGAGCTCCCTTAAATCCAGGATTTCATTAAGCCCGCGGCGAATCAGGTTAACATTTATTCCGTCTGGTTTGCCTCTGTTCCCGCCGCGCTACTACTTTCGCAACGCCGGCGTGTGACTGGCAGAATTTTGAGCCCGGGCTCTTTGATCAATTTCTCGCGCCCAGTACAGGTATTTCACCTGGCGAATTGCTGGCGTCATCGATCCTTGGTGATTGAAAGATTTCGTCGTGGATGAAATTTCAATTAGAGGGAACTTTGTTTTAACGTTGTTGAATGATGCGAGTACCGTGACAGTAATTGCTCGGATAATTGGTTATTTTTGACAGAACTGGTGTTGGAACTGAGGTTTCTTTAAGAAGGAAATTGATTATAGTTGATTAGGAATTGTTTTATTACTTCTTGTTGAAGAAATGGTGTAAAATGGTGTATGAAATGGTGTAAAATTAATAGGTTCTGTTATGTTGTAAATACAATGGTGTTAACGTTGTTTTAGTGATGGTCCGATACAATTGATAATTAAGACGAGAAAAAAAGGGTTTAAAAAGTTACATCTTCGACTATTGTTATAATTATTGGTTCTTGTAGTGGTGGTTCAAGACGAACGATGACAAAAACAAGAAAATAGGTTTCTAAAAATCTATACTGCCAACTATTATTATAATTATTAGTTCTTTCAGCGACAGTTCAAACAAATAATAACAAAGACAAAAAAACAGCCGTCTAAAAACCTATATTTCCAACTATTACTATAATTATTACTTCCTCTAGCGACAGTTCAAAACAAATAATAACAAAGACAAGAAAATAGGTGTCTATAAACTTACACTTCCAACTATTATTATAATTATTAGTTCTCTCAGTGACAGTTCAAAACGGACGATAACAAAGACAAGAAAATAGCTGTCTAAAAACCCACACTTCCAATTATTATTCTATTGTAATAAGTTCAAGAATAATTTACGTGAATCACTGTGGGTTTAACTCGATGGGTAGTGCGACGCTTGGCATTGTTCTTAGCGACGAAAGCGGAGTAAGTAGATTTATCGTAGTGAAATGGAGAATCGATGTGTCCTCAGAGCCCCAAACTGCCATCTGCGGGAACGGGGTGGTGGAAGACGGCGAAGAGTGTGATTGCGGCTGGGAGGAGGACTGCAACGACCCTTGTTGCCACCCTCAACGACTCCATCATGCCCCTCATGAGATACCTTGCCGCCTTGCCGATGGCGCGCTGTGCAGTCCTAGCCAGGTAAGTGGCCCTTTTCGTTCATTTGCTGACTGCCCGGAAACGCCGGTACTCCCCGATGAATCGTGATTAACAATGCAATTACTCCGTACGACACACGGTTTCCATTTGCCGGGAACGCATACCGCCGGTCGCATAATATCGAAATTAATCGATTCCCATCGACCAACGTGCCTCCGGAGGGGCACATTCTTGAAACATTCATACTTTCTTTCCGGACGGGAGGTCCCGTGCTGAATATGTTACGAGATCGTTTTGAATATCTTGAACGGTTAATGCGCTACGAAACGGAACGTGGATGTGGAATATCGATCACTTGGAACAGGAAATCATTACGTTCTTCTTATTGCGAAACTTCTGCCGTTTCAAAGTCGGTTCCGCGTGTTTCGGTTATCGGCCGTTGAACTGGATATTTTCAGGGGTAAGTGAAGTTAATGGACAGTTTTCAGTTAGTAATATAATAATGGACTTCGAATGAAGGTAACAAGGGAAATCATTCGAAATTATAGAGATAAAGAGATGTCATAGGTAAATCGAACGTCAAATTTTAATTCCGATGAAGATTGACGTTGTCTAATCTTCTCGACGAGCTCACAATTCGAATTTACTATCCATAATACCACCGAGAACCTTGAAGCAGCCATAATTACTCATCAAACTCCCATTACATTCGCTTTCCTTAAAAATATTCCACCTGTTCCGATAAACAGAATATCTGATCGTAACAGTTTACAATGTTCAAACGCTTTTCAACCAAGGATTATCAAAAGCTTCCATATGTCCGTTTAATCAGACTATTCAATATATTCCACAAACTCAAAGATCCACAATCTGATACAGCGGCATCCCAGCCGAACGATACAGAAGCAATCGTTAAATTGATGGATTAATTATCGCTGAATGTATTATTGGAAACGTCAGGCCGGAGGCCGTTCATGTATCAGGTCGAAATGAAAACCGTTGGCGACAGCGTCCGTGTACGTTTACGAAACCCCTTACCTGTAACGTCGCTAATTAATAACGCGGTGCGCGCGCGCGCGCGAACGCGGAGGGAAGCCGGCTCGGCTCCGGTTATTGATGTTTATTAATGATACACTAAAGCCGTAATTAAACGCGGGACGCGCAGTTACACGCGCCGCCCGTCCTCGTCTGCGCGTCAGCCCGCGTTAATCCAACCGACGCCGCTCGTTTGTTCCACGGACGAGGGAACTTGCGATACTCCGCGCGCGTTGGATAATTAAACGGGGCCCGCCGATAATGAGTAGACGAACTCCTACGGCCGCAGTCGAAATCGAGACGCCCCCCGCGCCCGGTAATTTATGCGCCGGCAAACTTAGCCAGTTCGCCGCGATTGGTCGGACCAACGCGCGTGTAAACTTGGAATCGGAGTGGCGACCGGGCGCACGAACAGATTTACCATCTGACGGGACCTCTGCGTCACGTTTCGCGAGCCATCGATTCCGTGAGGAGACCATTGATCCCCTAACACGGTCCACGGATTGGAACACCGGCGTTGGGAGCCGTGATTCGATCGCAACAATCGTTAAGGGGGAAGATAATGGGCACTAGACGCGATAATGTTAAACGCGTATCCAGCTGGATGATGGAAATTTCCCGTTTCACGAGCACCGTTGGCTGAATGACGGGAATCCGTCGTTTCGGGTGTTGAAAATGTAGATACGATTATTGTTTTTGTGAATGGTAATTTAAATGAGGTCTTCTTTGTGGTTTGGGAGAAAGGGATGTGGGATTTGTAAATTTGTGTTAGTAGGAATGGAAGAATTGGGGGGATTGTAGAATTGTTTTCTGTGAGAGTAATGAGTCTGCGGGCTGGGGAAAAGGTAGGAATTAAGGAGATTGGTTGGGAAGCGTTGGTGGTGTAGTGCGTAGGGTAGTTGACTGCCACGAGGATGATATGGGTTCGAATCCCCCCCCTCGGGATAGATTTTTCGGACTGTTTTTTCTTTGGAATTTCTGTTAATGTTGGTGGTAGTGGTATCGATGACGTAGTAATTAAGATAGCGGAAACTTGTATATTATTGAAATTTGTTAACATGTGTTATAATTAATAGGAGAATAAGAGCTTTGTTACGTTCTACTGTTAGAAGAAAATAACAGGGAAAATAGTTGAATAAAATTGGGATGCAAGGCGGAAGAGAAATTTTCAAGAGAAAAGTCCCTCGAGGGAAACTGGAAAACTCAAGGGAACTTGGAAAGAAAACTGTTGGAAAAGCCAGGAAAAATCATCTTTCCCTGTGAACGGAAGAGAGGGAAAAACGGACGAATGTTGTTTTCGAGATGGGGGAGTATAAATTAAACTTTCGGATTTAAATAACAACACACGGTACTAAAAATATACCGCAGAGGGGGGGAAAACTGTGGAAAATCCTGTGGAAACTTTGAAAGGTGTAGAAAATCGGTAATGTTAAAGCAAACAAACCGGAAAAAGCGCAACGCACATCGTTGCGCAAAAAGAAGGAAAAGCTCGAAAAAATATGGTAAAAATTATGTGAAATACAATTGGGAAATGGGGTGTTCAACTTTTCCGGATATGAATGGCACCGCGCTCGCCGTGAGCACAAACGGGAAACTCTGCCACTTTCCCCGGCGTTGAAGACACGGCGTCGCTTTTCCCAGCAGAAGATAGTATTATGGACTGTAAGCAATCTCGTACACGTACGATTCTTGTTGGTCGAAGAAACTTCCCGGTCACGGACGACCACGGAGGATGGCTCCCGAAGTCTCGAATTAGTTTCCAGGTATGTTCCCGTAGTCCAGAGCTAGTTTCCAGATACGCGGTGTTATCGTCGACGAGGTGGCAAACAAACGGGCGGAGAACAGGCTGCAGCAGAGAAGGGGGGGAAAGAGAGATGGGAAAGAGAGATGAGGAGGGGAAGGATAGAGAGACGAGTTTAATTTCCAATGTTAGTCGCCATCGCGTGCTGCAGCCTCTCGCAGCCATTTTCCCGGGTAAATGGGAACTAATTAATCAAATCGGAATCGAGGCGAGGCCCCAGACAAGAGGCGCGAATGGGAAACTCTCAGCCAGCTAAAAACAATTAATCTCGTTAAATCGTAGCCGTAGCCCGTAGGGCGAACGGTTCGATCGGTCCTTCGAATTCAGCTCGGTCCACATTTTTTTTTTCGTCCATTTCGTCCACAGTCAGCGTTTCCCGGCGTTCGACGTCGGCAATGCCGTCAAGTATTTCTCCCGTGGACCGTGCGATCGAAGCACGCGAAATTAGGAGGCTCCGAAAACGAATTTTTCCATCGAAGGGAAGAATTACAGCGTCATTGTCCCGGCGCAGCTACAATCACCGCAATTCCAACCGTTCCTCCGCGCCCCGCTCCTAATTATGCGAAACTGAATGGAGCGCAATTATAAAGCCGTTTCGTTCGTACGTATTCAACGGTCCGCGCAATTTTCCGCGAGTTTCAACATCGATTAACGAAAAATCGGATGACGACCTGGCAACCGTGAATTTCCATTCGCAAACCGCGCTCCTTCTATTCACCTACGAAATTCGTTCCTCGAAGACAGCCTCTCCGTTTCCCGCCGCGTTATCGCGAACGACGGAACGACAGTTCCTGGCAGTCGCTCTCGCGGCTGATAAAAGAAAACCGAGACGAAGAAACCAGGCAGGAGGTGTCGGGAACGATCCGGGACCGATAGGGGCGGAGCAGGCGTTAACGGGAGAAAAAAGGGCCGGAGGCGAGGGGAGCGTGGCCCGCGGAAGTCGATGCATTAGGTGCATCGCGGGAGAAGAACGCCGGATGCAAAACACGTAGACGCGGCCGGAACGAGCGCCGGGACGTAGACGAATGAGCGACCTCTTTCGGGGTCCCGTGTTCGCGGCGCGGACGAAAGAAACGCGGAGAGCAATAAACAAGGGGCGAAGAGAGGCTGAACGGCCGCGGGAATCGAGAGGGAGCTGTGGACATTTAGCGAAAGCGAGTGGAACGAGCATCCGCGGGAGAAAAAATTGAGCGAACGGAGGAGAAAGAGGGTGGGCTGCTGGCGTCTGATGAGCGGAACACTGAGAGCGAGCTTGCGGAAAGAAAACACGGCAGATGAAACAAGAAGAAAGACAAATAGTCGGCGCAAAGGAAAAAGACTGGTCTCGCTGTTCGCGGGAACGCCACCGTGAAAGTCGCCACCGGATAGCTTGTGTATGTGTTTTGTCGAGGTTCGGACCAGCACGGCGAACTCGGAGTTTCAGGGTATTAGCGATGACGATTCGGATGGCTAATAACTCGATGAAGGTCTCGAAAATTTCGAACGATTCCTAACGGTGAGATAAGTTAGGATGTTAACCAGTTAACTGTGTGACGAGTATACATGTGACTGTAAAGCTTGACATGATACTAATTCTTTTAGCGATGAATTCTTTATTTTTTCACCTAAACATGTAATTCTTCTTTGTTTCGCTTTAATCTTTCATTAAAATATACTCTACGTGCATTCGTCCTGCGTTCGAAAGAGTACACGCTCCATTTTTCGATTTTATCGCGCGCAGAATCAGAGGTTTTTCCAACTAAATTCCACAGTTAACTGGTTAATCGAATGCTTGCTTCATATGTTCAATTAATATAAAAAGCTGGAAAGTTTTAATTACAGAATGTTTTCGAATTCTTGACGAATGCTCGATTTTGGAAACAATCGCTGAAGTTAGGTGGATAAATTCATTTATTCACTGAAACTCGGGTGAGTTTTCATATAGATTTGACAATGTACTTTCTCGGTGACTCATTGAACAAACTAAATTCCGTTGAATTTATTAGATGTGAGATGATTAACACGACTATCACAAAAAACATGATTTTAGGTATCGTATCCTTTCTATAGCAAAGATACAAAACAAGAATTGTTAATTCTTTTGTATGAAAATTCTTATATTACTCTATTATCTAGTCATTTACGTTATGGAAAATTTGTATTCAAAATCATCTTCCAAGTCATAATTATTCCCTTGTAATTTGAAAGCTTCGATCATTGACCGCCG